ACGTAAAAATTCTCTAATTAGTCTGGAAACGGGGGACCTAATTCTTGCATTCTGTGAAAACGGGGGACCTAATTCTTGCATTCTGTGAAAACGGGTAAGATTGGCTATAATGTAATTATCTTAATCTTCACTATCGTTACTTTTTGCCCAGCGAAGCGGGTCCTTGCAGCTAGATTCTAGATTACTGTACTTAGAAAAACAGTCTTTTATATATATAAAAAAAACTATATTACATACAAATAAAAACCCAGCGAAGCGGGTCCTTGCAGCTAGTTTATAATATAATTCTAAAAAATCTTTTTAGTTTTTCAATATAATGAGCAAGAAAAGAGAATGCGAGTTCAACGATAATCTAAAAGCGAATTTCCGTTTATTTCAAAAACCAAAAGCGATCACATCGTAAAATGTGAGAAATGTTATGGTAAATTTTCTTTTTCGCACGGCGAGAAGAACGATATTTCAAAGCATAGAAGTTATTTAAATATTGCTGCGTCTTCCTGGAAAATACAGGACTTTTTCGAAAAACAACTTATGGGGACGAAGAAAAGCAATTAGCATTGGTAGAAGAACTTATGCCTATTCATGCTGTTAATCACAATCATAGTTTGGGTCAATCGACTGTACATCACAAGTTATCAAAATGTTATTCAACAAAAAATTTGCCCGTGCTAGAACAAAATCCGAGGCAATTGTGTGTAATGTACTTTCTCCATACGAAATCTCACAATTAAACAAAAATCTAGAAAAAACACGTTTTATTTCCATGTATTCTGAAGCATCTAATCATAAGAATATAAAGGTATTTTCTACCGTTATTAAATGTTTTTATTCGGAAACTGGAATAAAAATTAGAATTTTAAATTTCGTATTATTGCCCGGCGAAACTTCAGAAATAATTGTCAATTCCATTACAGTATTAATATGTTGGAAAAACGCAAATTAAAACATAAAATGTTGCATATTGCAAATAAAATACGAACGCAAATCTTGGAGAAAAAGCGAGAAGAGGTACGAATAATATTTTTTATAAATTAAACGAAAACCTTACTCAAAACATTAATGGTGTTTTGTCTGTGCAGCGCACATAATACATAACGCTATTCAAACAGCTGCCGACTTGTTGCCCGTAGATGTGGAGTGGAGAATATTATCAAAATATATTCATATTTTTATGTATAAACTGTGCGCGTTGAAAGACTTAAAGAATTTTGTGAAATTGCGAAAATCGGATATCAGAAAATACTTGGATATAGAAAAACGCGCTGGTTACTCTTTTACCAGCTGTTGAACGAAGTTTGAAAATATATGATCCTTTGAAATCCTAGTTTCTATCACAGAATAAATGTCTTAGAATTTTAGAAGAGTTTTTTTTTAAAATGAATCTTCTAAAATTTTGCTAGAGTTTGTAAACAATCAAGCAGCTTTTTTTTTCAAAATGCTGTAAAATTTATTAAAGGTGACAAAAATTCGGTAATCGAAGTAGCAAACGAAATTAAAAATTTCAGTGTCAACGGCAGATAGAAATTAATTTTCTTTAATTAACCATCCGTAATACTGTAAGTCAAGTAGAAGAACAAGGTGCAATAAATCGAGCAGATATCATGAATCATCTCAAAAAGTTCTATACTAACTGCTTAGATTATTTAGAAGAGTGGACGGTACATTACAATGATATTGAACATTTTCATCGGGTTATGTTAAAACAAGAATTTAATTGAAAAGATATGCAAAAATCATTCCATCACATTAATCAGCATTTTCCAGATAGTAATATTTCCGAAAATGATCTTTTTCATAAGGTACATTAATACCCCGAACTTACGCGATAGGTGGGACCGAGCGGTAACCGCGTAAGTCGGGGTATAATTTCGCATATAAATACATACAAATAATTTTTAATTGGGGCCGGAGACTAATATTTTATTTTTATTTGCTGTAATACCTTATGGTAATAGAAATAGAACTAAACGTGAAAATTGATAAAAGCTTTTTTTCGTAATAGATTTCTAACAAGAGTTTCAACAAAAGTAAAACGCAAAAATTGAACACAGTGATTATTCTTGTCATTCAGACATGTGTACTTAACTTTATTGAGTATTTAAGAAATGAATTTAAAGTAAGTGGCCAAGTGGTCTTCGTTTCCTGAACACTGGGAATTCGGTCGTGTGTTGGTGCCTCGCTCGGACGGGCTGGCCACGTGGAATTTTCCGAGGTTTCTATACGTCTGTAACGCCTAAATAGAGGACTGTTTTCTTTAAAAAGACCTCTCGGAAGGCATCCCTTAAGAAAATCGCCCAAGTGTAGCGTTGCCTCAACTTAACCAAACAATAATAAAAAATTAAATATAAGTACACATTTTTCAAGTGGCCACATCCAATTAGGGTTTTTCATTCTCCTGTCTTTTGCTTGTCCGAGGATTCTGGGATAAAAGTTAACTGTATTCTAGAACAAAATTGATTATTTTTAAGTTATACAAAATATCGTGAAATCAAACGATATAATTATTTTTATTTTTCAAAGTAATTTAATACGTTCTGCAACCTCTGAAATCATATTAATAATGCTGTATAAGATATTAAAATTTACCATTGAATTACGTAGAAATTTTCACAAATAGAAAAATTTCTTAATGTTTGCCGAAAACAGCATATAACAACAACAACAACAACCACAAAATGCTTTGAATTGAGTTAAAAATTAAAAAAAAAAAAAAAAAAAAAAAAAAAAACNTGCCGGAAACAACATACAACAACAACAATAAAATGCTTTGAATTGAGTTGAAAATTTAAAAAAAATGAACTTAGGTCAAACTCTAACTTAAAAGGTAATTTTCGTTTTTTAAATAAAACATAATACAAAATATTATTGTAAATTTTTATAATAAGATTTTAAAAAGTAAAGATGTTCAATACTCGGATCAGTCAATCTGATTCTTATTTTAGTAATGAAAAGTTCTGCTACCGAAAATGCCTTTTCCGATTTAATCGATGTTAGTGAAATCGTCTTTAATGCATTTAAGAGAAGAAAGATGTTTTTTTTTTTTTTTTTTTTTTCACTTGTAGCTTGGAAGATTTCGAGTTCGTTTTCGAGATTGTACTACTACTTTTACTGTCTAGTAAAAGTAGTAGTACAATCTCGTAGTAGTTCTTGATCAATCTAGTAGTAGTAGTTCTTGATTTGTCTACCTCGGCTGCTTTAATAGCGGCATCGAGCTTATAGCTCGATAATTCGGCAATTCATAATCAGGTTCATGAAGAAAACTTTATACTTGCAGACTTCGTACTCGTTTGTATTTTTGCCCAATTTGTACAACAGGCGTTACGCAGTTATCGAATGTACCGGGCATTGTTAAAAATTAAGACAGCGTAAGCACAATTGTTTCAGATATTATAGGTTCCTATAAGTAAAGAATTTTCAGAGTCCTGCCACAAATAAGCGACGTACTGATTATTGACCATTTGTGGCGTGCCATAACGAACAAAAATTAAAAAAAAAAAACTAGTAAGTTTACAATTAATAAATACAAAAGTATTCTGACAGTTTGTGAGTTAATTATAGTTTCTAAAAACATAGAGGTAAAAAAATCGTTAGAAAAGACATTTGTTTTTATGTACAAATTTATTCACAAATAAAAAATACGAACTAATAAAAGATAACAAAAAAAAATATTAATAATGAACACCAAACATTTGTATTTCTGAGATTCTCAAGTGCGTACCTACTTTTTCACCCCTGTAGAATACTTCTAAAACACTTAAATTGCTTATAATTTTTTTTGTAAATGTTGTAAATGCTTTAAATAAAATGTTGAATTTATGCCAATTTCGACCGCAGCTGGCGCTTTAATACAGAGGAGTAAATTTATGTTGTGTTCACACACTTATCTCACGTTTAACAATTTCATCGTCTACGATATAATGTGGGTAGGAAAATTGAAAGAATCTGATTTGGAATAGGAAACTGTTTCTCAGTGGGTGTTGATTCTGTGTCCGGTGACCCTTCAGAATGGTATCTTGCTCCTGTTATTTTTTCTTTTGAAGGTGCCTAATCTGTGCGCCAGTTATCTCGACAGCAGCGTCACTTTCAAGCCGGTATCTATGGCTAATTAGGTTGCTAAGTCATCAAAGGGACAATGTAATGTATGCTCTGCATTGTACGCTCTAAAATTACGATGAGTTGTTGCGTCACTGAACTTAGATATTTTTATCCCAGGTGTATTTTTTTCTCTCTTGCCTAAAATTGCTTCTTAAAGTTCGTCGGTTTCTGTTGGCTCTCCTCTCGTAATGCTGTATCTGGGATCGAAATTAACTAATCGGGGTTTTCCAGTCAATTCTTGAGTCGCCTAAATTTTGTCAAGTTTCATATCGTCTTGGTCTGTGTCAAGAATTGTATGTTTGATTTCACACGCCTCCAATTATGTTTCTCGGGTCATCGAATGGGTCCCTATATCTGTTTCTAGCATTGTTGCCTCTATGCCTGGGAAATTCTGTTTGGTTTCTCTGTCGTCAAAGTTCATGTAATTGCTCTTGTATTTGCCTGATTGTTTGGTCTAT